TCCCCACAGACAGACAGGTCAGGACATGCTGCACAGTGCCATCTTTTACCTATCTCGCTCACCTTCCTGTGGGCACAACAAGGGCTTTTCAAAGTGTTTCTTTACTTGATCCTTATCCAGGTCATACAAGGGCACTGACCGTACCTCATAGCTATTACACACAAGTATGCACATACGCAGGCATACAGTGGCAGTCCTACGCATTCACTGTATTTTAGCGAGCTTATCAAACATGGCAAACAGTCACAAGGAAAAGATTGTGTTAGAATATCTACTCAAATATTATACATTGCTAGCATACAGGTACATTACTGTGGACAAAAAGGAGCACATTTTGTGGCGATTACAAAGGCTGACACAATTACCAACTTACAGCGCTGACAGAACATTAAAATCTTGATAATAATTTTGTCGATGTACTACAATTGTCTGCTTACGGCTTAAGACTGAGATTAGAGTGTTTTTGTTGTTTCGTGTTATTAAATGAATACTTCCCTATTGTGGTTTTTAGTAGTTGATCATTTAAATGTTATGTAAAACTTAATGTTCTTGTGATCAGAACTGATTATTTTTTACAATTTCAACAGACTGCAAAGAGAAATCTGAAACACTCCAACATGTCCTTGTGTCATCATCAGCACTGAACATTAGCACTCGTCATTTACCTAGTGGACAGCTAGGACCAGTGATGTTTTATCTAAGGGTGCCCCCACTGACTGGCAACTGATTTTCATTGGCTGATATTTGCTTCAAATAGACTCATAGGCAATCTCTACAAACGCAGATCAGAAGAGCCGATCAGGTGATGCATTTATTTTATTCCACAGCAAAGTTATATTCAGTGTTTCCCACACAGATTTACTTGGGCGGACCGCCCGGTATATTAACGGCCATCGACTCATTTTAGAGAGAAACTTTTTTTCCCACAGAGAAACGGTGAGAGAGAGATGTTATCTGATGGACACGGTGGATTTCGCAAGCACGGACGAGGTAAAGCAATAGTTAGATTTTCGATAGGCGATGTCATTAACCAGTTTCCTCCACACGCGGCTCACCCGCTGTTGTGAAAACAGAACGGCAGGTGAAAAATCCAAAAAAATGCAAGTTGTGTTTCTTGGACAATTTTATAAAACATACTGCTGACGAAGAAAGTCAACAGAGCAGACGCATACAGCCTGTCTGATACACGAAGAGAGAAGCAGAAAAAGGCGGGGTAAGCTGGTGTGTGTGAGACAGAGGTGTAGGTGTGTGCGCGTGTGGGGGGGTGGAGAGAGAGAGAGAGAGAGAGAGAGAGAGAGAGAGAAGGGAAAAAGCAGATTAAAGTATTTTGTGAGTAAACACTAAAACAGTATAATAGGGTGGTGGGTTACGTCAAATTAAAATGTTGACATAAATGCTGATGAAATATTGATGAAAGACTTAATTGACTCCAACAATTAATTGTGCATAAAAGGAAAGAAAGGATGAGCAAATGTGCCATCTGTTAAGGAAGGTGGCCAGGATGTGAAATATTATCTCAAGTAAAATTGCATTGAAAAACAAGGCGTCTTCAGGCCTGAATAATAGCCTATCAAATTGTGTTGTGGAGCAATCAGTTCCATAACCTCTTTCAAAAGGAACATGCGATACCCATTAAGTAACGTGTATGTATGTGCCAGCCTCTGCACACGTCCTACATCACATTGGAACGTATTTCATAAAGTTTCATGGACATTTTACAATGAAGCTGTGCTGGAAACTCAATCAGTAATCAATGAGTCGTGGAGATAAACCATACTGTCTTTGACTAGATTACACTGCACGTACACACAGACTTGGAATTCAAATTGCAACATTTTGTAAGAAAAGTTGAGCAGCATAAAATGAATTGCAAGAATTTTAGTAACCTTTCATTTGTGTTATATTTATTACATTATCTTATCTGTCAGCTGTTTAACTCAGTTTTATATGATCACAAGTGAAATACATGTATTTTTGTCTGTTGGTCAGACAAAGAAAGCTATTTGAAAATGTCACTTTGAGCTTTATGGAAACTGTGACGTGCATTTTCCCCATTTACTGCTAAACAATTTATCTATTCATCTACCAATTTTTGAGAAATATGAAAATGAAAATCTGAGAAAACAAACTAGATCTTGGTCTAGTCATTGTCTACCAAGTTTTAAAAACAAGAAGTTTAGAGTCACTCAGAGGTATTACAAAACTTTTGTCCCTTATTGAAGGGTCATAACCAGCAATAAAGGTAGAGACTGAACATTTATCAAGACAGCAAAAAAGTGTGGCCCAACTGCTTCTAGTGTAGTGTCTGTGTGAGAGTATCAAAACTCTTTTGACTTCCACTTTACTAGCTGGCCTTTGTCTAGAGGAGATGCACTTTCACTATTACAACATCAAGGTGCAGCACAGTAGCTATGTGCCATCAAAGCTTTGTGTTGTGTGACTGTCTCTGTGTTAGCAAGCATATACACTGACAGCACCCGTTCCACCAGAAATTGCTAAATACACAGACAGTTGAAATGGTGCTGTGTATTGGTGAAATTAACTTAAAACAAATTGCCATTTAAATGTTTCAGAAAACAACAGAGAATAAATGAGGCATAGAAAAGGGACAATCCCTTTCTGGGCTAGTAAGCTACCAAGTATAAATAACCAGGTCCTCTTCTATGTGACTGCACTGCAGGATATCATCCAGCTCCATCTAACAACTCTCTCAGTTGTTAGGCTATTTTTTGACTGGTCAGCATTTCTCATTGGATCATTATAAAAACCAAGGCCATAAAACAAGGCTCTATCGCAAATTTCATCTGATGACTGATCATCATATCCATATTCATGACATCAACAGGCATGTAAAAGCACACTCCTATTCTTCTGATATTCATGAGCAACTGGGGATGCTGGAACCCCTGAGCTGACCGGTCTGTCAGTGACCATCAACAGAGACAACAAACAAGGCCTCTCTTTCATTCTGTCAGTCTGTGTTTCACTGTCATTTTGTCCTCTGCCTGTCTCTTACGCTCAGTCAGACAGCCAGACAGAACTACACACACATCCAGACAAGCATAAACAGGCTCACACACAAGAAGTACAGCTTCATAACCAGCTCATCAATCTCTCACTATAATGTGGCTACTGTGTCTTTGTATTGCTCTTATAACAGATTTCACATATGCTCATATACTTACTAGTCTGTAAATTATATCATAGTCACAGTCAACGCAGTCCTTCAAGAAACATCTTCTGCAGCGTTGAAATACACTACATGGCACTCACTGACCCAAGTTTATTTTGGCCTCATGACTCTAAATGCATGGTTCTCTGGGCTAAGTGGCGTAAAGTAACCAAATGACTCGTGTCTGCATGTCTGTGTGTATGTCAACAAGAGCACAGAGGTAAAGCTGCACATTCAGCTGCTTTGACGCACCTTTATTTGTGCCATGAGAATTAAAGGCTCTTCATCAGTTTAAAAAAAAAAGCCCAAAACAATTATATTGCAGGAGGTGTCTGTTAGTGTAGGCTTCAGCTACCCCTATTTGTTGTGAGTGTTCAACCAAGCATTCATCACAAGGGACGTGCACACTGATCACAATGGGGATATCATCAGAGCAAGGTTTCTCGTGCCATCTTATAGCAAGTATGGTTCCGAGTAGGAGCCCTCCAACAGGCTAGGATTTTAGCAGAAATCTGACTGATGCTGCTGTTGTCAAATGCGCCAACTGAGGCTTTCTTATTAGTTATTTGTTTTGGCCCTGTTGGTCTTACACTACCATGCCAGCCAAGAAGACATAGCAAACATATCTGGAGTGACAACAGACTACTCACAGGCAAATAAAGCTTTGAAACACTGAGGCACCTGATCCAACAGGGTCAGCACAAAAGAAAAACACTACTTGGAATATTTGAACGATCCCTTCTGCTTGCAAAGTCTCAAACTTCCCCTAACTACCTACCTACCTACCATAAAAGCTCCAAAACTTCTGCCTGCCACAGACATTAACAGACCCATTTAAAGGAATGGTAGTTTCTTGCATGCAGATAATTTGTTGATAATATTGTCTTCTAGCAAATGTGTCAATCATTCAATACACTGTTATCTGCCAGCCCACTCAATGCAATAGCAGTGTGTGGTGCCACTTCTGCCATGTCATTGTTTTCTTGCCCGGGAGCCTACATAGAAATGTAATCTAACTTAGCTATTAACTAGTGTAAGTAAAGACCACGAAACACTGGTAAACGAAGCTGAACCACAGGTTTGACAAACTGGTTAAATTACACCACGACAAAACGGTTGTATTTCACTTGAAAGACGTGAGAAACTTTCCTAACGCGAAAATATAAAAAGATAATAGTTTGCTTATTTAAAATAGTTCTCTGTCAAGCTAACTAAACGAAAACGCTACATATGTCTCTGCCATAGTTGCCTTTTTCTTCGGTTGCACTTCTACTTTGAATTTCACAGAGAGCTATCAATACTTTGGCAACCCACACCGATCAACATTAGAAGTTCACTGTTGATTTAAACTTATCTAGTAGGGTCTTGAAAACTTTTAACCCGGTGTATTGGCATCCGCATGACATATATGTGTCTAGCCAAACAGCTAATTAGCTAGTAAGCTAAGCTAGCTAAGTACAGTCGGAACGCTGTCTCCTCTTTCTCATCTTCGTCGATACCCTTCTCTCCGTCCTCTGCGCTTTGCCACACATTAACCTCGGGCCTTTATATCTTTCCTTTGAAACACTACTAGATAATATAAGTGAAACCTCATTTATCTTGTGTTAAATGTGTTTGTATCTTGTTAGTAGTTAGAGGTGATGCCCCGTGTCGAACGGACCCCCCTCCCCTAACCCAAGCAGCGGTGTCACCGGAGCGGGCTGGCCGCTGTGTCTCCAGAGCCTGAAGGCCCCAGCGTCATCCTAAGTACATGGGCGAAAAGGCTTTAAATAAAACAATGACAACTTGTAATTGTTCACCTCTAGCGCTCAGACACCAGCAGTCTTACCTTTGCTTTGGTAATGATGTGTGTGGCTAGTTTAACAACCGCGAAATTTCCCTTGCCGATGGTCCGCTCGATTTCGTAGTGGCCCACTCGGGCTGGGGGGGGCCTGGTGGCCGAAGTGTGGCCAGGATTGGTGATGCACCCAGGGGCCGTGCTGGCACGACCGGGGTGGCTGATCCCGGAGGATGGCTGGGCTCGGTTCTGGGAGCCCATGCCTGCGTGGGTCGGTCGGGGAGAGTGCGTAATCCCGGCCGCAGCGGACCCAGCAGCACCTCCGCTTGACACGGCCGCCATCTTCTCGCCTCTCTGCGGGAACAACAAGCAGCCTTGCGCAGCGCGCATCGCGGGCACGCCCCCGCCCTGCGTCATTTTACGTGGAACGCTCCTCCGCAGCGCCCTCTCTAGGTTGTAACCATAGTAACGATCAGCGTAACAAATGACTTCATCCACAGAAACGTATTGTGGTTGCCTTGGCGACAAAGAAGTGCGCATTATCACTCTGGTTCCCATGATTCAGTGATTCCTTGCAAACTGCTGCACTATGTATGCTCAGACGTGAGGCTTTAAAGGTATACGCTGCTCTAACAGTGCAGTGACAGGTTTAAATCATCGAGTTGAGGAAGACAAACATTATCACGTCACAATTTCCCTCAATCATAATGTTTGAATATGCTACACGTCACCGACGTTATGAATATGTTTTTACACAAAGGCATGTTCACAGTTTCTAGCGATATATTCTACAATGCCACGCAGAGGTCCGGACAGATCATGGTCATGTGTGCTGTTCATGCACACATTTCTCCATTTACATGGTTTCACCCAATGTTGGCAGTAGGAGGACAGCTAGATCACCTCCCTGCCCTCACGCTTAACCGCTGGGGCTTGATTTAGGGACCCTCCATTAATGAATGACACAATACTGGTGTTTTCTTGCTTCTCATGCTGACTTGACCATATTAGTGACACCTGTGATTTAGAAAAATACACTTGTAGCACACTGTAACTCCTTTATTTTACATAAAAGGATTGGCATTTGATCCAGTGAGTCCAAATACATACCAAAAAGTATTACTATATAGCCTATTATTACTACTATTACTACATAGGAAATACTTGTTCTTACTGCAATTTAGAGCTTCCTCTATTTTATGAAAGTCTGATGGAAAATTCATAATTTCTTTTCAATAGCTTCCAATGTCAACCTGTCACTCCAAATCAATGTCAAACTGTTTACACTGGACACATAGCACACACCTCTACTACAGCTGCACTGTACTGCACATAATTATTATTTTCCCCACAGCATTAAGTACATTTCAAAGAACATGGAAGCTCTTGCAATTAAACCTTCATTATCTAGTTTAATTGAAATATTATGTCTATTATGTAAATTAAATTATATAAATCAAAAACGTATTAGTAATAAAAAAGATTTTCTACATGAGACTAATTTAGTATAATTGTTTAATTATATATTTTAATAATAAAATAATTTGTAATAATTTGTACACACACGCATTTGGTTCTTAGCTGTATGTGCTCCTGATCATCCATCTGTGAAAGGCGAATGAAAAGCTCATCTTCACAATAATAATATAGTAATAATAATGCTTTTGGGGGAAATAACAATGTTTTATTAAACTGACATCCTTCAAACTCTACTTCATTAATTGTTTCAAGTGTCAATTCAAGTGGGCCTTAAGATATAATAGATATAAATAAAGCAAATAATACACACTAAAGTTATAAAGATAACCAAAACCCCCAACATTAAAACACAGAAATCTAAATAATAAAAAGAGCAAAACAGACCAGTAATAAGTAATTCAATACACATGCATGGCTGAAAAAAGTCTACCAAGACCAAGAATGTGTTCAATTCAACAGAAATGATAATCTAATAATTTAAACAAAACTAATTTCAGCAAAATAAAGGGGGTGATTTCATATCATACTATGCTATCATGTCCATCTAACCTGTTCTGCAGAAATGCTTTAGAATAGATTGTTTTCCAAGGAGGTTGTAGTATGTGAGGAAAATACAATTGTTCTATTCTGTTCTATAGCAATATCTCACCAGGTTGTAGACAGCACCACACCATGGTAGAGAGGAGGTCCTGCATCATATTACTCAAAACTGAGCAAAACAGGTAGCTGCCAGGCCCCTCGGGCCCGTCAATTGGTTTCTGATTAATTAAAATTTTCTTTTGGTACATGCACTATTATATCAGCTAAAATTGTATGTGCCCAAAGGCAAGCACTGCCTAAAATCAAGACCTTGGTTTGTAGTTCAACCTGGTTGTCAAAACCTGGTTCTGAGCTAACATGGTTCCTATTCTTAAATACATCTGTGTTTAAATAGACCAACTGACACATAGAAAACCTGAGGCAGGAAGTACTCAAAGTAACAGAAGTATCCAGCATAGGAGTAGTGGTTGGTCTCAGGGGCATTGAAATATAATAAAGCTGCCTTATATTGTCTGCTGTGAGTTCAGGGTACATAATGCAAAGGGAGGAGGATCAGTGGGGCCCAACAGCCCAATTTGCCCCAGGACCATCTAGAAGACGTATCCATGCTTTTACCTGATCATTAATGGGTTATATAGAGATGAATGACCTAACCAAATGTCATTTTCAAAGTAATCCATAAGGACAATGACTGCGGAAAAAACCTTAAAATGCTCCATGTTCCCTCAAGAACAGCTGTAATGAAACATTGTTTGTATTTATAATTGTAAGTGTATTGTAACCTTTTTATATGAGTAGTTTTAATCACTCATCCAATTACAATGTTATCCCCTGTGTTATTATTACTGGCCTATCCCAAAATGTATATATCAATAACATTTCTGTAGTTATTTTTCATGAGACAGCTCCACAATCATCACATCGAAATACCTTTAGTCCCTGCTTCCCTTTGGAAATACAACCTGTTGGGACTTGAAGTCAGCTGCAATCTGGAGATTTACAGATATTTTCTGTGGCTGACAGTTTCTGTTTCTGCACCAAACAGCTGTAGCTTTTTTAATGTCGCCAAATGTATTCATGACAAAGCCAGTGCCTGTGTGAGAGATCCTGCAAACTGGGTGGTGTCTATACAACAAAGGGGCACAACAAGTGTCCAAAACCCGGAACAAATTTAGTAAAAAGAAAACCAAACAAATTGAATTGTTCAGCAAATAGCCTATACTCCCCCACCCTATGAACCACAAGGTACAACATGGCGTCAATTACATACTCCAGCACATGAATAGTAACATCCCTGTTGATGAACTCACATCCTCATCATTTGAGTAGAAAAAGAGCAGCGACATGACGTCATGACGTCGCCCCCGGTTTGTTTACTGTCTGAGCGTGGAGGGGGCGCTAATGGCACACAATCTTTCACACTGTAAACACACTGATTCTCTTCTCCCTCCGCACCAGAAATACTTAGACAATGCAGCGTCGTCGCGAATACAGGCAGTGACAACCGCTCACACTGGACAGAGCCGGATAAACACCTGGTGCCGTTTTGTTTCTTGCACACTATCCGCGACGCTGGAACTGAAATCCGATATGAAATCATGGAGCTGCCTCACCAGCGTCCTACTAACCAACGATGCTAACGCTAGCCCAGCTCGCTAGCAGCCTGGCAGGCTTTGGCGTCTCAGGTGAAGAAGAACTGAGAATCATTGCCATCTTGTTGTCTTGAAACTTGTGTCTCTTTGGTTGCGCAATTGACATTGCTTCGAGTTGCGTTAAAGGGAAGAGAAACACACGTTTGGTTTAGGTCACCCAGCTGTCTCTTTAGCTCGTCATTTAGCCGCTGCTGTTGTTGTTGTTAGTCATCGCTGGAGGTGGTACAGTTGAGCTAGCCAGCTTGCTATCCGAGTAATTGTAGCTGAATGGGGTGGAGTTGTCATTAGTGTTGCCGCACAGGCTAGAATAACATTAGGTATCAGTTGCCTGTTTGGGAAGACGGTGTCGGACAAGATGGTGTTAAGGAGCTGCTGGAAATCTCGACATAAAAACAACTGTGGACCTGCTCCTCGGTGGATCCGATCAGGATTGGCAGCCCTGTTCTGGTTATGTGTGACCCAGTTGGATTTCGGCTGTGGGGCGGTGAGGGAGACCAAAAATGTGGTCCAGAAAGATGCAGAGTTTGATGTCACCTACAATGACACGGTTACAAGTGAAAACCAGACCATCTATGCTTTCAATCACACTATCTCCAGGAATAAGGTGAGTCTACATTGTCAGACAGATTTGTTTTTCTCTTAATAGTACCAAGCCATATTGAGTGTTAAATGATCTTTTCTCTTTTTGCTGGGTTTCAGACGGAGGGAGTGCGTGTGTCTGTGGATGTGTTGTCACAGGGTTTGGAGAGTCCTACCCTGTTTGTGGTACGACAGAAGCAAGCTGTACTGTCTTTTCAAGTTCCTCTCATACTAAGAGGCCTGTGAGTATTCCCCCTGTATATATCACTTGTAAACTGGACTCATCTGGAAGGGTGATCTCTTCTTTCAAAAGTCATGGAGATTGTGTCCTTTAGCAGGAGTCTATAAAACAACTCTAAACAGTTCTATATGAAGAGCAGTGCTGAGATTATATTCTGAGAAGTTGAGAGTCTCTCCTATGTTGCCATTCAAGTCTATTATGTGTCTCTAGGTGTAACATGGTCAGGGTCACGTACAGTGTATGTCGAACATGGGTTTATGTATGTCCAAGTTGGGAATTACACATTCTAATGCTGGAATTGAAATGGAATTTGATCTGCTCACAGACTGAGAAAGGAAAGGGAACACATTAGCTATAGGTACAGGTTCAGCCGTGTGTTGTTTATATATACTGTTAATAGTTGTAACATTTTGTCACATTGCCTAAACTGAAAAAAAAAAAACAATTTATAAGTCGTCTGTGAGGAAAGTCTCCACAACACTGAACAGGTTTGTGTATGTCCATCCCAGATTTTATACTCAGCCTTTACGTATGTCCAACAAACTGCACACACACACGGATGGTACACAAAGTCACAATCCAAAGTTCCTGCTAGGGAGTGTCTGGCTGTAGCTGCTGTTCTTTCATAGATAGTAAACATTTATGACTTTAGGTCATGTGATTAACCAAATGTTCCAGTTTGCTTTAGAGAGCTACGTGTCTACTTAATATCCTTGTAAGAGAAAGCTGTGTCTGTTGTTGAATCTTTTATAGATGTGGTGGAGAGATGATTTTTAGATCTGAGATCCAGGCTTGGAATTAATCAAGGAGGTGTTGCATTTTAGGAATATCTCTTATTTGGACATTGCAGTCATTATTTCTTTCCTGGATAGTTAGCATCAAGGCCAGCTGTTGATGTACTATATGGGGAAGAAACTGCAAAGTCTACAGATTGTACCTCGATGCTTGTGTTAAACACAGCTTTTGTAACCTGAGTTAATCAGGTGGGATTTCATAACAGGTTAGAAGTTCAGCTCTTTATTAGACATTGGCCAACAGCCCATCTGTGATTTGATATGTGTCTCCCACACTCCGCAGTAGTCTCTGTGGTTTTGCAACACCAGAATAACCCAGCCCTTAGTGTTGCCTTTGCAGTCACATTGCCCGGCATGTTTGAAGTAATGAACCTTGGAATTTCACTTCCCCCTTTGAGATCCGTCAGTGCAGATGTGACGAGGCAAACTTATTGTAAATGAGTTTACCTCAAAATAATCAGAGCAAAGTTTCACGTAGCATCTGTCACATGCTCTCTGTAACTGAATCCACTTCCATGTTTCGAGCCGTGTGTGTGCATTTAGCAGCATATTCTAGAGCTGGGGTCTTTATTGATTATGTGTAGATATTATTGAAGAGGCAATATCTAGTCAGGTCCTCTGATCCTGAATCAGCAGTCCTTGGGAATGTAGTATACTCCTATTACATTAACTAATCGATTTTCCCTCATCATGTAACAAGTCCATCTTTTTGCTTCTTACGATCATCCATTACTTCATTTAAAGTGTCTAACTATTCTGTGAAATGGAAAAGAGATTTCAGTAGATGTAATAAGATAATAATAATGTTAAATGAAAATTTAAGGTCTTGTTAATGGCAAAACCTTTTAGAAAGGGAAATTGAGCTCTCTTGTTCTTTCTTTCTTTCTTTCTTTCTTTGTCAACATTTCCCTCTCTCTCCCTCTCTCTCTCTAGCTACCAGAGGAAGTACCCTTACAATCATGTGGGCCGGACATTGTGCCAGCCTCCGACCCGGGCTGCCTCCGAGACCCAGTACTTCTTTGTGGATGTGTCTACCCTGTCCAGCACGGGTACAAACTACCAGCTCAGGGTCAGCCGCGTTGAAAGCTTCACCCTGCAGTGAGTGATGTCTGATATAATCACACAAGCACACTGTGCCGTAGTAAAGGCCAGAGTTCTTACCTTAAGGCATTTGCCATCAGGTGGGGTTTTGTGATCAACATGTCACTTCTTACTGGTATGTCTGACATGTTATTTTTAACTTTGTTACAGGACAGACAAGAAATTCAGCTTTACAGCGTCCCCATCCCAACCTCAGGTATACAGCTTCATGTGACACTAAGTGCTACTTTACCACAAGGATGTTTACTCACAGAAGTGTACATGGCAGGCTGTGTGAGAGTGGGTGTGGACGGTGCAGATGACGAGAAACATGAGAGAAGCTGAGATAGCACAAGTGAAACAGGATGGAAGGAATTTCTGATTTTATAAAACGATTTAGTGTGCACGTTTCCTGGACGAGTTCTGCTTTTTTTTAAAAAGAGAACAAACATGAGCTATATTTATGACCTTTTGTAGCACCTCTCAGATAAATCAGGTCACCCAGTACAGTTTATCTGCTTTTGTCTAATAAAGTTGGCATGTTATTGAAGGTGTCACATCCTCCTACATACAGTATATTAGAAAAACAGGAAACAGTGTTTTCTAATCCCCTCTAATGTGTCACTCCCTGACTCATCATCTTTTGTTCACCTCTTTCTCTTGCCCTTTCTCTCAGTACTTCAAGTATGTCTTCCCGGATGGCGTGGACACTGTGATAGTCAAGGTCAACTCAGACATGACCTTTCCCTGCTCCGTTATGTCCGTCCAAGACATTCAGGTACAAAAGTGCTCCCCTTCTCCTCAAACCAGACAACTCCTGTCCTCAAGTGGCCCCTAGCATTGTGTCATGCAGTAACACTCTTGGGCCACATGAGGGCATACTTGAGTTCACTGCAACAGTATCAGTTTAGTGGAAAATGGCAATTTTCAGATTTCTGAGATTTAACTGAGATTTTACTCTGCTTTATTCGTCCTTTTTCCCACACTTGTGTTCTTATGTTTCGCTCTCTCTCTCTTTCTTTCTTTTCAGTGCCCCGTCTATGACCTTGACAACAACGTGGCTTTCATTGGGATGTACCAGACTATGACCAAAAAAGGCGCAATCACTGTGCAGGTAGTGTTTGACACACATGGTGCTGAAATACAAATCATACTGCAAACCTCTGTGATTAAACCTAGAGTATAGACCCGTACATTACCACACAAACAGAGTCTTCTCATGTCTCGTCCTGTCATCTAGAGAAAAGATTTCCCCAGCAACAGTTTCTATGTGGTGGTAGTGGTAAAAACAGAGGACGAGGCGTGTGGGGGTCCGCTGCGCTTCTACCCTCTCCGTCCTGATGAGCTGATCGACGCTGGCAACCGCACCAAGGTCCTGGATGTGATAGTTACCCCTGCTATCAACTGTAAGTCCGTTTCAGACTGCTGTACACCTTACAACTTGTTCCCAGCTGGACTGAAAAGCATTAAAATGTCCACAGCTAAAAAGCTAGTTCGCTATTGTGTCACTGCAGTACAAGATTATTTATCAGCAAAAAATACAAACTTTGGGAAAACAAGTGTCTGTCCAGGAGCAACATTTTGATTAAATACAGTAATATATATATTTATATAATAAACAAGTAATATATAAAAGTTACATTATGTTCTCCACAAATGGAAAAGTTTTAGGAATAAGTGATTCATAACTAAAGGTTTTGCCTTTATGTAAAAGGTTCAGGCTGCATATTGTATAGGTAATGATGCTGTATCATTTCATTATGCAGTGCAGTCAAGGTCATGCAGTATTAGTGTATGAATAGGCTTACAGTAAATATATCTGTATTCACACCCTGCAGCGGAGGTGTATGTGATGGGCATGCTGTTCTGTCTGGGTATCTTCCTCTCCTTCTACCTGCTCACCTTGCTGGTAGCCTGTGTGGAGAACAAGCGGTAAGATTTTCTCTTTGCAACCAAAAAAACAGTGAGGAACTGCATCCACTTCATATACACATGTTCTGATGCATAAATATGTTTTTATGTCTCTTTACAGTTGTTAAAGCCTCAGATTTGATTAACTTTAACTGGGTTTTGTTTGGTCAAATTAGGTTTAAGGCAAAAAAAAGATAACTAAAGTTCACAGTGTTCAAATGTATATACATTATTGGTCCCAGTGCAACTTAAGAGTTTGGATCTCTAATCGAAGAATGTAGATTTATGCACCACAAGGAGAACACTACACTGAATACAAATGGTTTGAATTTGCATGTTTTCCTCTGTGTTTCTGCAGAATGAATAAGAAGAGAGAGGTGTTTCAGAATCCTGCTGACATGTCGCCTGCTGAGACAGGTAACCCAGCAACTAGCTATGATGGACTGGCCCATTAGGGGCACGTTACAGGGTGTGTGGAGCGTACCATTTTCCTAAAGTCAGTAACCTGTACTGAAGAGTAGATGCCTTTGTTGTTAAACTACTTTTAACATGCAGTATAATAACTTCTTTAACTCTTTAGCTTTTAATGTAGAATTTAACATGTCTGTGTGTACTGAATGTGTTTCTTTTCACTCTTTCTCCCTCATGCTAATGTGTGGTTCAGCCTCCCTGCTTGGGAAGAACGGAGATGGTATAACGACCTATCTTGCACTTACTGCCCTTTCTCACGCAGTGTTGCTTGTCTGCGGATGCTTCTCTGCATGCATTAGCTCACGTACTCTTAACTGTCTTGTCATATAAAAAGCATTCATAGAAAGGAAGTTGCAGTTGATTTAAGTGCTTTATGGATTGTGTAGGAACATAAACATGGCACAAACTATTTATTTATTAAACTTTTATGGCTTACATTGTAGAGATACAGATACACATGGGTACTTGTTAGGTACAGCTCGTATTTTGCTTGTTTTTGTCACAGTGGTATCCTTCTCCTCCTCCTCAACACTACTTGTTGGATGAAGAAACAAAGTATATTAAATTATAGTAAACAATGCTAACGGCATGATAGACCAACGACACAGGAGATAATCATTGAGATAAATAAGTACACTGCTGATGTGCTTCTTGAGCTCAAGACTACTTCTCAGTGTGTATTTGTATCTACACTGCAGTGTACCCTGACATGATTTGATTTTAAACTGCAGCCTGCTTACAGTTTTAAGCAATCCACTCTCACTGCACCACTGTCACCATTCAGCCTCTGCACCATTCCCTACTCACATTTTCACCCGTTCACTAAAACTGTTATTTCAAACGTGTTTTTTCAGGCATTTTGAGCCTGAAAAAAACCTGTCAGGCTTCAGTTTTCTAACCGGATCCCTGCATGTGTTATTACCTCTCTCACCTCTCTGTGTTCATGTACTAACAATTTCAGCCGCAGTGGTGTTTTAGTATTCAGCGTTACGATACTAACCAGTGCTGGTTGTAGTGGTGCTTGTTTATATATGTGCATTTTGTTAACATATACTCAGCTGGGAGTTTTACTTGTGTGTGTGTGTGTGTGTGTGTGTGTGTGTGTGTGTGCTCCACAGGCAAGACTCCAGCCTCACCATATGAATATGGCTCCTTTGGTGAGTTTCGGACAGTTCTGGTTATGTCTTTGTTCATATGAAGATTGAATTAAATAACTGGGCTTTTTTCCACCTCTTCTTCTCCAGCTGACAACGGCAGCACTCTCAGTTCAGAGGCCATTACTGACAGCGCCACGTCAACTGACAACAACTATAGATACCTGGGTATGGACAAACATCTGCACATACATTTTCTTGTAGCCCACCACTGTCACTTTGTGGTGCGTCTCCACAGCCTGGCTTGCAGCTAGCGTCCTGTGGGCAGCTCTGGTCCCTCACTGGTTTTCTGTGTGTCTTTGTTCATCAGGACAGGAGCCTTTCAAACGTCGCCCAATCCTCACTCACCTTCACCACATAGCCATCCGCATCGGTGACACACTGCCGCACAATTGGCCGAATCAGTTGCGAATTACACAAAACCAATCAGCACTATGTGAATCATGCATCAATGCGATTTAGATGTTGATGCCAGGAAGTGGCCAGATTCCTAATCTGATGCCGTTGAAATGAAGAGTAAAAACAACATTGATATTGCAAAGATCAAAGTACCAACAATCATTTTAATATTTCTGTTTAATATATTTGAAAATTGCAAAGAAATTCTAAAAGGGGTGATGTGTTTGCATCATTTAAAAAAAAATCTTTTAAATCCAGACGTACATCTAATTAATGAGATTGTCCCTCCAATGAAATGAAAGCCTTTTCTTTGTTCCACCATGACCTCTTCCTCCCTTCCCTCCTTCCATCAGAGCGATCGTTGGAGAGTGTTGGACGAAGCAGGCAGGAGTCTCTGAGCTCCGTGGAGGAGGATGACTACGACACGCTCGACGACATCAACTCAGACAAAAACATTGTCCGTACCAAGGTACACCTCGTCTCTCTATGTCAATACACACGACTCGCTTTTTTTGTAAATAACAAGTCGTCTTTGTTAAGACTAGTTACTAGACATGTCATGATTTATTTATTGTACGCTTCCTTCTAATAATGTTCTCTCCTTATTGCAGAAATTTTTATACGTGTCTGACCTGTCTCGCAAAGACAAGAGAGTCCTCAGCAAGAAATACCAAATCTACTTCTGGTGAGCACACATGCTAATGACAAATACCACTGAAGGGTAGAATCAAAAAGAATCAACAACAACAATAAAGGAGCACAGATTCCTTACATACATTCTGGTCTAGGTCAAATCCAATAATGGCATATACATATGCACTGCAATTGACCTCCTAAGTCCCGCCTTTTTTCGCCATGGGCTCCAATAACAGTTAAGCAAGTCTTGGTCAAACCCTCAGTCAACTCTCTCCTCGCTTGTACTTAAATATGCTATTAGCATTTTTATGTGCTGGGCTCGTATATGATGAAAAGAACCACATTTTGAAGATGGTTGAAAGATAAAAGTGACATACATGTATGTGTGTATATATATATATATGTCACGTCTTAAGTTAGGCAGCTAATGGTATAATAACGTTAGCTTACTCGCCAACTAATCTACATCAGTTGTTCGCTAGCTAGTTACATTTGAAAGCTAATGTTAGCAAAACACTAGCTAATGTACATCAACTGTTAGATAGCTTGACGGGTAATGTGTTGCTAACATTAGCTAACTTAAGATTTGACTATATATATGTCCCATCTTCAAAATGTGGTTGTCTCTTCAACGCAGACGAGCCTAGCACAGAGCATATCTAAGAAAAGGAAAGGAGAACGTCGACCGAGGTCCTGACCGAGCCTTTCTCAATTGTTATTGGAGCACAGAGCAAAAGGGGCGGGGCTTAGAAAGGGTCAATTACAGCATCTCCTACAGAGTTGCGTAATAGTGCATTAAAACTTGGCTAGTGGTAATACAAATAGTATTGTAATTCATTGGTTACAGAGAGATGTCATGTAATGATGTCTTAAACCTTTTATGACCAAGTCTAATGATTATCTTCTCTCCAGGAACATTGCTACTATTGCTGTGTTCTACGCGCTGCCAGTCGTCCAGCTGGTCATCACCTATCAGACGGTACGCTGATGAGACATAAACTGTGATATATAACACAATCTTAAAAAAAGAAGTACTGTAAGAGTATGTGAGTATTGTTGAGAAGTATTGTAAAAAAACATCAACACACTGATGTTGAACCGTATTTTCTGTTCTTCAGGTGGTCAATGTTACAGGAAACCAGGACATCTGCTTCTACAACTTCCTGTGTGCCCACCCCCTGGGAGCACTCAGGTGTGTGCTTTGCATGTGTCCGAATGTAATATTACAACCGCAGTAAGGCAAACAGATTACATACCTGTGTTTTAAAGTGTTGTAATGACTGACTGTCAACTGTTGTCATACACAGCGCCTTCAATAACATCCTCAGTAACCTCGGTTACGTGATGCTGGGACTGCTCTTCCTCCTTATCGTCCTCAAAAGAGATATTGTCCACAATCGCGCCCTGGTCCGCAATGAACTCAGCGCGCTGGTAAGACACATGCACGCAGACAGATGTACAGTAGAACGCACCTTAAGAAAACATGAGCATTAGCATAATTTGCTGTGGCGTGTTTCTGTTTCTCAGGGCTCATTAGAAATAAAATCAAGGAAGTAAAACGGCAGGACTCAATAAATCGTCTCTCTTTTTTTTAGAATTTGTTTCCACATTTTTTGGGTCTTAAATTATATTTAATTATTATATTATTATCTTTAAGAAAGCTCTTACAAAGCTTTGAATTTGGCTTTAAAAATGGTGCAAGAACCCTCACTCTTTCTGCCATGCGCATTAAAATACCTCTTTACTCTTCTAACGGCTTTGTAAATACAGCGCCTCAGGTAGCTTACTGCATAAATAAACAGGAAGTACTGAAGGGAGAAAACAGGCACATCCGGACACATACAGTACCGTTGAATATAGACTAAAATGTTTTATTAATTGAACTTAGTTGCTCAATTATTAGCTCAATATTCCTCTCTCCCACCCCCCAGGAATGTGGTATCCCAAAGCACTTTGGTCTGTTTTATGCCATGGGAACCGCTCTGATGATGGAGGGCCTGCTCAGTGCCTGCTACCACGTCTGTCCTAACTACACCAACTTCCAGTTTGGTAAGACTGCTTGTGTTCCTATCAGGTCTACTTTCTTTTAGCTTTCTGTGCAGATATATTGTACAACCAGTGCACTGTTTGTGTATACGCAGAGCTCCCACTGGGGATAAAATTAATCAAATATAAATGTTAAAAGGTAGTTACCACATAGGATATGTAATACAGTATGATCTCTGCAAAAATCTTACTTGTAATTCAGTGACAGCAATGTGCAGTGATTCTTAATCTTTCAGTGATTGAGATGATAAAAGGTAGTTGTGACTGTTTCTATCTTTCTTTGCAGACACCTCCTTCATGTACATGATTGCTGGACTGTGTATGCTAAAGCTGTATCAGAAGAGACACCCAGACATCAACGCGAGTGCTTACACTGCCTATGCCTGCCTGGCTGCGGTCATCTTCTTTTCTGTGCTGGGAGTGGTACGTAGACACATGCACAGATAGTTAAAGACCAGGCATGGGTGATGACACTTCTTAACGTTTGTGACGGTCTGTTTGTAGGTATTTGGGAAAGGAAACACAGTCTTCTGGATCATTTTCTCAGTGATCCACATCCTATCCACCCTCCTCCTCAGCACACAGCTGTACTATATGGGCCGATGGAGGCTGGGTAAGAACACAGCAAGACACATTCAAAATCCCCTATATCCTATGTTTAGATTATAATGGTTTGATATTAGTTTATTTAATCAGTCAAGTCATACATGATCATGTAAGAGAAAATGGCATTAAGATATTGGTTTATAGATTCATAACAATCACATGACGCAATTTAACTACAAACTGTACAGATTCATATGTATTATAGTTTGGTGCATAGGAATAATGTCATTTGTTACCTTGACATTTACTGTATGGGTGCTGTGGATTTGATCTTCACACTGTCTGTGTATCTGTGTCAGACTCCGGAGTGCTGCGCAGGATGGTATATATTGTCTACACTGATTGCATCCGGCAGTGCAGTGGACCTATGTACATTGTGAGTAATAACATAATAAAAACCTGGTAATAACAGGTTTAAGTACTGTTATGGCGTAAATAATTCACCTTTCAAATTCTGAGTTTACATGGAATCACATCTTTCCCCCTCTGTGTGTCTGACAGGATCGTATGGTTCTGCTTGTAATGGGGAACATAGTCAACTGGTCTCTGTAAGTAAACCTGGTGTTAAGTGAAGTCAGTTTAAGTTCAAATGTTCAGTGCAGGACTAAATCATATCATCTTCCTGCTCCCTCTCTGCAGAGCTGCCTACGGCCTCATAGAGAGACCTAATGACTTTGCCTCCTACCTGTTGGCCATCGCCATCTGCAACCTGCTGCTCTACTTTGCCTTTTACATTATTATGAAGGTGTGTGTGTTTGCGTGTATTCATGTTTTTAAGAAGCATTTAGATTATATCTATATAAAAGAGCGGAAAGGTTTTGTGTATCTAAAGCTTTTTTTATCCTGTGTGTGTGTGTTTAGCTTCGGAGCGGTGAGAGAATCCAGTGTTTGGCGTTGGTGTGTATTCTGTTCACGGCTGTGGTGTGGGGCTTTGCACTGTATTTCTTCTTCCAGGGTCTCAGCACCTGGCAGGTCAGTAACTCACACACACACACACACACACACACACACACACACACACACACACACACACACACACACACACACACACACACACACACACACACACACACACACACACACACTTAGAGAAGGAGCATTAGGCTTTTGGCCTGTGAGAACACACACTGACTCTAAATTTCTACATAATTTGGCATTAGTAGACTGTGTGTGTTTCTCTCTCCTGACACAGAAAACTCCAGCAGAGTCTCGCGAGCACAACAGGGACTGTATTGTGCTTTCATTCTTTGACGACCACGACATTTGGCACTTCCTCTCCTCTATCGCCATGTTTGGATCCTTCCTGGTAGGGTTTGTTGTGTCTGTGTTTTAGTTCATTTACAGATGCAGCATACACTCAAAATGTTGATCACTGTTTCCCAGAGCCTAAGGTTGTCCACAACCCAAAGATATTCAGTTTACTGTAAAAGGGGACTAACAAAACCTGAAAATATTCACATTTGAGAATTTGGACATTTTCTTACAAAATTACTGAAAACCATTAGACAATTATCAAAATAGTCAGTGATTGGTTTAATAGTTGACAACTTATTGATTAAACAACTAATAAATGCAGCTCAAAACTTAAATAAATCGTTGGTTCCCTCCTAGGTCCTTCTCACCATGGATGACGACCTCGACACCGTCCAGAGAGACAAGATCTTCGTCTTCTAGATTTGTCAGATCATCTGTGATGAGCTCAGCTCTTCCTCTCTGCCTTATCGCCCCCTCATCTCTCTCTCTCTCTGTTTGCGTCTCCTTCATGTTCTTTAAGAAAAGCACAGCCAGTAGCCTGTTTTTCCCCAAGGCTGTACAGTGGGCACCTGTCTGCCTCTCACAGCCAATCAGCCAGTAAGGGAAGGGCAGTAGCCCCTCCCTCAACCTGTATGGACACAAATGTGCCAATGAAGAGCTGTGTCGACGTTCGAGTGATGCTGAAGTGTTTCGTCCTCTCGCTGCCATCATCAATTTAACTGTTGTAATCGATGTTTACTTTCTGCTGACAGTGAAGATAACAATGTACACACTCGCTAAAAAAAAAAAAAACTATCCGAATTAACTTATTTTATACTGTCTGCATTACATTTGACCTGCAAGTCAGCGATGCATTTTGGAATTACTGTTTGTATGCTGTTTATATGCTGTGTGAGTGTTTGTACAGGTGTGAGTGCGTTTACAAACGCGAGAATATGAATTCTGTCTGTCAGTGGCCTTTAACGTTCTAATCATGTTAGTCACATACTGTGCTCTGATTGGTCAGATCTTCTAGCCGTCCTTCTCATTGGAGAATATAATGATTGTATTTACTTCTCGACTGCCCTCAAGTCTGAATTTAAAGGGTTTTTTGCACTGTACTATAGGAGAAAACTGATTTTAATGTGGAACATTTCAATGAGCGGTTACTGAATAAAGGTTTCATTTTCATAAACGTTGTTTTCCCCGCCATTTTCTGCGTGTTCTGAGCGTGATTCCTGCCTTTTAAACCTGATGAACCTGAACTTAATCTATGAACTCGACTGACAAGACCGGCGCACATGAGGCCCCGCAGGTTGTTCTGTGTGAACAAAATCCAGTATGATAATGAGGGTGTTGATATTTCTCTGTATGGACACACTTGCACAAACAACAGGATCAGCACACAAGAAATACATGAATATATATAAATTTACATTTATTAAAATATAGAAAAATAAATATTTATTCACACAAATATATATGCACAAAATATTTTTTTTCTCTGCCGGCACACGTTAATCAACAGTTCACTGCTACTGCCGTGTAATATGGAATATGGAAAAGTAATTAATGTAGAATTACAACGTGGATTGGCTTCACCTTTACAAAAACACCAGATTCCAACAGGGATTTGTTTCTGAAATGTAAAAAATCTAAACAAAGTGGTTAAAACCAAAACGTTGAAAACACGTCACTTATAAAACCAGTGGCATAAATACAAATGTAACCTGTCATTAAACGTAGCTTGACCTGCGTAAAGCACTGCCTTTTAGTGCTGTAGTGGTATGTCCTGCCTGCAGCAGTAAATGGGTTCACAACATGATGATCAGTTGGATGCCTGGGAAGCTTTCACTAAAAGAAAGTACAGGAAATAAACCTTCACGTACTTCTCTGTGATTGTCTTGACTACACCCTGTAAGAAGCAACCATTTCCCATCAAAGTAAACCATTTCAAAAACAGTTTGGCGCAAGTGTGGCACAGCTATAATCTGTAAACGTGACACTGAAGTGCTTTATGAAGTCTCCTGTTGCTCACAACCATATCTTATGTTGGAGGATAAAAGTCCTCAGCCCTCTGTGACATGTTATTCCCTGAATTGCCATGTCAAAGCTCCTATCAGTGCTGAGGAGGTCGGACTTTGCCTGAAAACCCTTGCACCCAAAGTTTAAAAAAGGAATGGATCAAAGACGGCACGGGACTCTGACGTGAGGCCCTGTCACAGCCATTAATGCTCCAAAGTCCTCAGTGATAGTCACGGTACAGCAGGAACTTTGCGTTCATGTCCTCAGTAATGATAGACTCTGATCTGGTTGTTATCGTCCAGGCCCAGCTGGACCAGGCTGCTCTTGGTTGAAGGAGCCTGATAGCGAGTGAACAGAGGTCTGGTGGGCAGAGTTAAAGACAACAGCTGTGTTCATAAAACAGTAAATAAAACAGACAAATAATGGTGTGCTTTAGACAATAGATGGCGATAATGTGAAGAAGTAAAAGGTAATCAGACAAGTCAAAAAAACAACTGAAAACAACAATGAATAACAATGTAAATTACATAATAAAAATGTAAGTGTAAAAAGGTACAGCATATAAGGCTTTCTACTATTCCAGCTACCTAACAACAATCCTCTCAATTGCTTGACTGATGTTGCACACCTGCTTTGGACATGCCCGTCTCATTCACTTATAGGCATGAGGGAGAACTGTAAATGTGGTGGGATAGATTTTTTTTTTACCACAAGAGGAGATTACTGCTCTATAGTCACAGACTTGTAACGGTATAAACATGCAGCATACTGGCATGTCTGGCTATAACAAGAACACTGAGATAACCTTGAAAACCAATCACTGTCATCGTCTATGGATTGTGTGGGCTTTATGTAGCTTCAACACGATACTGACATTTACGTGTGTTAGTGTGAGTGGATGAGTGTGTGTGATAGAAGGATACATGTTGGTGTCTTTCTTGCGCATCTCCAGCCACCTCTTGTTGCCGTCAATCAGCCCCTGCAGCCTCTGGCCGTCTACCTCCACTGACTTCTGCATGGACCGCAGGCTACGACCATGTTCACTTAGATACACACAGACACACACCGTGTTGGGATTGTCGTAAGTACATTTAAGACAGCAAGGATATGTAATTCATAGTAATAGCGTGGTTAAATGTGTGCTGCAGTTTACCTAATAGGAGTGTATGAGTGAGCTGAGGGTGGCCTCATGGTGCTGGAGGTGATTGGGTTCGTAGCTGCTCCTGCAGGACAGAACAACAATTCAGAACCAACAACAATGATAGCATCTGATAAAAAACAACAGCTATACAACAAGTCCCATTATTGGTGCTTTACTCATTCTAAATCAACATGACAAGGCTGTTTGCATACTGGGGAATATCTGGCTCCATCGGCTGTTGAAGAGGTCCTCAGAGGCCCTTAGGCCACTGCTGACGGGGGTACTGAAGAGAGGGGTGCCTGCCGAGGATCCTTGGGGCGCCCAGTTCCAGGACGGCTCTGAAAGCCTCAACGGGGGAGGTGGAGGTAAGGAGCTGGGGCCCAGGGTGTACATCTGGGGCATGACTGGGGCAGAGGTGGAGGTGGCGGAGGTCGGAGCTGGGTTGGAGTGAGGTTGAGACAGAGGCGGAGGGAAGGCTGTATAGGATGAGGCACTTTGCCTCTGGGCCAGTGAACCCAAGGCACCCAGGACCGTGTTGAGCTGGCCTGAGATCTGCTGCAGAGACTCTGCTAACTCCTGGACTTTGTCCGGAACAGTGGGATGACCTCCTATTGAGGGAGAGAGGGAGAAATGGAGAGAAAGAGAGGAACACAACTTCAGTGTAGCTGGAAAAGTATAATAATCTTCGAGTAGTGTTTGAAATATCAGCAATATAGCAATAATAACAGTAGATGTCTATTTGAATTCACAAGGTTTTATTCATACCAATACTGTTATAGATTTTGCCTGATTCTTTGTCAACTCCTTGATTCCTAATCAATTTTCTGTGTGGAAAAAAGGCCTACACAGGTTTTCAGTGTCAATGCAACTATTTTACTATCTTTGAGTTGGAACACAGTGTAGAAAAATAGTAGGGTTATAGTAGGTTGAGTGTCTTCATGAAATGAGGCCATACTTTACGGATGACTGTGACATCATGGTTTTGCAATGCGCAACTGCCGGCATTGATGAAAGGAATTGATAAGCCACATGGCATACGATTCCAATGGATCAGACAATTTGGAACCAGTTCTCAACTGGAACCGGTTCTCGATCCCCATCCCTATATATGTCAGGTTCTTTGATAAAACCATGAGCAAGTGTTACCTGTCCCATCCGGTGGGTCCGCAGTGCTGCTGAGGTCAGATTCGGTCACATCAAAGGTCACCTTCCTTTCTCCTGCCAGCCGAGACAGACCCTCAAACAGCGGCTAAAATAGAAAGCAACAGGACAAACTGCAGTTAATAACAGCTATGATTTGTCGGTATGTATAGTATAACCTGTTGACTTGATTTATCTTTAGAAAAGTTGGGAAAAGTGAACATAAAAGTGAATACAAACCAATGAGGAACACAAAATTAACATGTTTATATGCCCATTTTATATAGAAAATGTAAGTTGCTTTAGCTTTGAAAGACAACGTGTCAGCAACAAGTCATTTTGTTAATAAACAACAAACTCATTTTATCATTTCATTTAAAGCTAACTCTATCATCCAGGATTAATATAATACAGATTACCAGCAGAAAAAAGTATTCACATGAACACAGAGAGAGCAAGGAAATTAAATATGAAAGATTGATAAATGAGGCAGAAGGAAATCACAAATGCATTATACTTTCCTCATTTTTGTGTCTCCATGTTTTATGTATAAATTATCACCACCACCCTGAATTTTACAGCTATGACTAAATGTGCTTGTTAACTCCATGAAGTTTGCAGTGAAAATATAAAAGCGCTTAACCAAGGTGAAGTATTACTTTAACTGAGTGTACATTAAGACTACGTGATGACTGATGTTTTGTGCTGACCTCTTCAGCTATAGAGCTCTCCAACTGCTGGAGTTGCTCCTCTTTCCTCCAGAGGAGAGTGTTTCCTCTCTGAACCGTCCGCTGCAGCTCCACAACATTTCTGGCCTCCTGACACAATAAGGGGAAAGTAAGCAGCCAGCACTTAACACTTGTTTTAAATCAACCCTGTCTCACCAGTCATTTATTATTCAGGTGGGTCACACTCCTCCCTACCTGCTGTAGGTTTCTTATCATCTCTTCAGTTACCCCTCCTTCCTGGTTGGAGTTCTGTGAGGAGACGGTCTGGGCTGCCTGCAGAGCTGCCTGTCTCTCCATCAGCCTGCTGGTCTCCCTCTCCAGGAAGAGTTTGGTTTTTTGGATGGATGCGCCATGTGAGGAGATGTAGCGTCTGAACCTGGACACATAGAAGTGTGGGGATTAGGGCTGAGGTTAAATACACACTTGTGCCCAGCTCTTCTAAACAATTAACGTTCTGATGAACCAACAATAAACCAATTCTTATTATTGTTTTTTGGTTTTTTTTGCAAGCCAGCAGTGTTAGCCCTGCTATCAACTGTCTTTAAGCTAAAGTTACATGAATCTCAAGGCGTCCCACAGGGTTCAGTGCTTGGTCCTCTCTTGTTTATTCTCTACATGCTCCCTTGCAAGCTCCTTGGTAACATCATCCATTGGCAGGTCCAGCTCTACATCTCTACTGCAACTCCCTCCTCCCTGACCAACTCCCTAGCTGAACTTAAATCATGGATAGAAGCCAACTTTACTCAAAAAATACTGTGACATATCATATATGATTATGATTGCTCCCAGATCTCTCACCAAAACCACATACCATCAACAGATCTGTAGCACGCAACCTAATTTTTTTACACAGCGGATTCAATACACACTCCTTCTCTTCACTCAAAAACTCCTCTATCAGGCCCCCTCCACCACCACTCTACCGTCCGCAGCCTTTGTTCCTCCCTCTGATGCTAACCCCTTGTCCATCCAGCCATCCAAAGCCACCCCTCTGTAACACGCTCTCTAAACACACCAAACTTGCTATATCTAAGAAGTTACTCAAAACTGCTTTAAATGATTGGTTTACATCCCTGTGCTATTTTGTCACTTTACTGTGTTTCATTCATCTAACTTGTAAGTGAAGATGTTAAGTGTCTTTTAATATCTTGAAAAGTAAAA